TGCATGAAATGAGGCATGTTCGTCATGCCATGTATTTAATTTGATCTTGCTTTGTTGATACTGTGTGTACTCCTGCATTCCATACAAAAAAATAACATTCTCCTGCAGAAGGCTTGCCTGGTAAACAGCCACCCTGTTCACAAAAGACTGTTGTTTTTACCTGGATTCAAGGGTGCATGTGCTTGGGAGTGATTCTTATTGGTCCTCTTCTGTTTTGGAAAGCCCGATGCTGCATGGATTCGGGTGTCTTTGTGGGTGGGTTTCAGGACTCAGTGGACTTTGTTTGCATTGAGTCCAGACTCTCCTGAATAATGAGTGATCAAGGAAAATTTAGTGAAACAATTTAAATAGGACAGGGCAGTGACGCTCCTGATTCCATGCTGGGTCTCAGCAGAAGTAATGTGCTATTGTTTCTTCAAAGATGCGTGAAGCCTTCATTTTGGATGGTTTTCTTTGTCTCACCTTTTGTAGTTTTCATGAAGCTTTTTTTACACAGGAAATGTTAACATTGCTCATTCTGCCAAAATATATGTGGGTATGTATTCAGCTGTACCTGGAGGAGAAATTTTTGACTCCTGGCTTTGTTTAAGAGAGACGCTGTTTTTGGAGTTGACATGTCATCTCATAGGAAGGTGGGGTTCTTGCCACTTACTTTGATGACTGTCTGACGGTATTTTTTTATTTCTATTAATGGTTACCTGGATTATTTTCCAAATTGAACAGTAATCTTCAATTCTTTAATAAAGGTGGTGCATTCTGAAGGAAAAATATTTTAAGCCCGCAAGGCTGAGGTTCAAAAATACAAACAAATGCAACGTGAGTTGGTGCTTTTCAGTGTACCTCCTATTTTATGCCCCAAGGACCCCTGCTTCCGTTCAGTCTTCAAACTTCAAAATTAATGTCCTCCCCCTATCAGACTGTGGAGTCCACAGAAACTTGGGCACTGACTCACCAGTCACAGGGCTGGCGGGCTGCCACCATGCGTCTGCTCTCAGTGGAGAGTCCTCCTGGCTCCCGAAAGCCTTCAAGAATTATTTCCAAGCTCCTGAAAAGCCAAGCATTGCCACTTACACATTTTGTGAAGATAACTGCTCTGATCTAGAGCTGTATCCTGGTTGGAGGGAGTCAGTTTATTCTTGGGCAGAGGAAGACTTGAGATCGATCACTCACTATGCCTCACCACTGCACTCCCTCGTCCGTCCTGGGGGTAAAAAAAAAATCAGCCAGAGTCTTGAGTTTACTGAGATGGTAGTGTTAAGGGGGAAAACCAAGGAATATTATCAAAGTCTGCCATGGGCTGTCAGGGAGTAAGGAGCATAATAAGAAAGTTTGGTGGCTGTTGGTGGCCATACAGGCTCTCTGTGACTTGAACTGGTCGGTGGCTTGTTAGGCACCTTGGTTGGTGAAATGAACAGGAGAACAGTCTTTCCACTTTGTATTCCATCCCCTGGATACAAACCAGGCCTCGTTCCCCTGACAGACTGAGCACACCCCGAGTGAGAACACTAGGTTTTGCTGGAACAGCTTTTCTTGTCCTCAAAGTCCAGGCTCCTCCACTGTGTCACTGCATCGTTCTTTGCCTAACAGTGTCCCTCCAGTGACTGTGGGAAAACACTTTTCTGCCTTTTGACACTTGGGCTCTGTCCCTTGTTTTGGGAAAGATAAATTGATGCAATTCGGTAATATCCTTTCTCCTCCTTTTTCAGTTTCCCAAAGTACTTCCTAAATTGTCTGGGTCTTAGAGAGTTTCAAAGAAATAGGCTACTGTAAGAGTAGATTCTGTTGTCCTTTCTTTTAGCCACGGCTGAAACGTTGGGTGAACATAAACATCTGATGGCCTTCCTTTTGTGAGTAGAGCCACTATGTCATTGAACTAGGTGGGAAACAGGTCTCACTGAGGTCCATTCTCAAGGCTGTGCCTTAAGGAATTTTTGTGTCTGAGGAACTTCTTAAAAATTTACATATAAATTATGTAATTCACAGACATGCCTATATCCTGAACTATATGACATCCCAAAGGACCTTTTAATCTGATCCAGAGGAGCATTTTAATAACAGGACTGTTATTAATGATTTTGCAGAGTAACCAAAATAGGCACATTTATCTTCAGTTGCATCACATTTAGTTATTTTTTTTCTTACTGAATTAAGGGAAATCCTTACATATTCCTAAGACAAGAAAATAAAAATAAATTTCTTGACATTTTATAGTTTTGTTCTTTCCCCTTCTTCTAATTCCATAAGCCATTACTGATGAGAAAATGACATTTCTCACACAGCAAAAAGTATATCTAACAGCCTAAACATAAACATTTAATATTTTTAAAAATTTATGCCTTTTCTGTCATACAATGCTGCTTTTTCTCCTAGGGGCTTCTAATCACAGCAGACCAGATAATCAGTTTAAAACGAAAACTCATCCTATGTAGAATGTGATGTGCCACAATGCAGTAGGTTCCAGAGGGTCTGAAAAATAATTGTAAAAAGATGAGCAGTGGACTGTACAAACTGTTGGACATGGGTCCTTGTGACTTCGTGGCTGGTTACTGGCTATGATCTGAGAGAGATCTGTCATTAGCAATTGATGAGTATTTTAGTGTGGACCCTCCTAAAGTTATCTGGACTAGAAAAATATTTAAAAGGATAGTAGGTCCCTCATCTGAATGTAGTCTTTTTATTCTTTCATTATTTTATTCTGTAATTATGGGGACCTGCTATGAGCTAGGCTACAAGTTTACCTTTATTGAGAGAAGATAGAAGGCACACTCCTGTCCTGCAAGAAGCACTTATTGAGCAGGAAAGACAGCTAAATAATTAATAATAGGGGGAGGAGGAGCAGACATAGGCACCTGGTTTGGTGATAGCAAGGTATGATGAGCAGACGTTTAGAAAGAGAATGGGAGCTGGGGCAGGGTGGTGCACACCTAATCCCAGCAGCTCAGGAGGCTGAGGCAGGAGGATCTCGAGTTCAAAGCCAGCCTCAGCAAAAGCAAGGCAGTAAGCAACTCAGTGAGAGCCTATCTCTAAATGAAATACAAAATAGGGCTGGGGATGTGGCTCAGTGGCCAAGTGCCTATCAGTTCAATCCCCAGTCCCACCCCCCACAATAAAAAGAGGATGGGGGTGGGTACCATAGAAGCCTTCAGGAGGAGCGAGATGGGATTTCTTACCATCTTGACACCACACCCACTTCTGTTAATGTTCAATAGAGGCTGGATCTGTCACATACTTTGGCGTGTCACCATGTCATCTTATGTCAAATATATATAATAAATGCAAAGAACCATTTATTTTCTTCCCCTTACTAACTTTTCTCAGAATCCACATAAGATTGTTATCTGGAGATGTTTTTATGTTTGATATATTTACATGCCTGAGATTTGAAATTCTAAAAAAAACAAAAAAGGTACCAATAATTTAGAAATGCATCTTAGAGGAATAACAGAACACTTTCATTACTGCTCTATTCCAAGTACTTTGATGATTACTTTTGGAACTGTTTGCTTTGCCACGAATTAAGATTTTTCTCTTAGACGCCTGTAGACCCTTGAAAGTCAATTATTTCAATGAATGTGCTTATTAAATGCAAGCTGGACTTGGATTGTAGCATTTTACCCCACCACTTCTGATTTTTGTATACATTTAGAGAATAATTTATAGAAAGTTTTAGATAATTTCTTATCTATTGAGTTTGGGTATCTTTTAAATCTTGCTGAATTTGAGAGGGGGAGTCCACTTTAAGGGTCACTCATCTTCACTAGTTCTTGCCACCAGTAAAATCTCTAATGAGAAGAGTGTGTTTCCACTTCCAGGGGACCTGCAGTCAGGGAACCTTCCTAAATCTCTCCTGCTTCACCCTCTCCTCCTTCTCCACACTTAACTCTGTGGAAGCTTTGCTTTCCCAGGTCCTCAGCCCGCCCTGCTCGCCCTGCTGGATGAGTTAGCAGGATTCCTCCCAGCCTGCCCCCCAGCCACTGGCTTCAGCTGTCAGCAGCTCTCTGACCCTCCTGACCTCTGCAAACAGCACCCTCCTATAGTCCTCCTGTCTCTGATGGCTCCTCCCCAGGCTCCTCCTTTGCTGCTGCCTTCTGAGTAGACCCTTGCCAAGAGCTGGCTTTCACCAGCTTCCTGTCCACACCACCTGTTTTCCACTGGTTTCTCATCCACAGCCACACGGTACCCACCATTCTCCTCCTCTCACTCCTTGACAGCCAGGCCGGTCTGCCTCAGGGCCCTGGCTGGTCCTCTTCCTGGAATGTGCTTCCTCCAAAGCCCATGGCCTATTCCCATACTGCCTTCAGGATTTTATGGGAAATGGAGCCGCGTCAGTCAGTGGGACATTCTGAGGTCATATCTATTGTTTTTATTTTTTTTTCGGTCTCTACTTTCTGGGATATAAATTCCATGAGATCAGAGATTTTTTTTGCCTTAACCCCCAGAGCTTTGAAAAATACCTGATCCATAGGAAATGGCTCAGTCAGTGTTCATTGAACGAATGAAGGAAGGAACACATGATTTCTGACATCCGAGTGCTAGAGTACTCTTGTAGCAATCAAGATCTCTGCCCTAGCCAAATGATTATTGGTGAGCTCCTCACTTGGAGGGCCTTAGTCTCCTGCGCTGTAGATGGAGGGCGAGTACAGTTCAGTCCTAAGGCCCTCTAAGATGCTAACACTCTTATCAGTTCCAGAAATGAGGTAATGTCCTACAAAATGTTACTTATGGGACTTCTCACAACTCGTTGCTACATTTTTCTTTTTATATAATTGCTATCTATAGTTAAACAAAAGGAGCGATTGAAATGAGCCAATGCTTACGTTCTAGATGAAATATGTGAAATCTAATGCATTTGGGTTTACTGACATCTGCTACCTGTTTTTTTAAAAATGAATTAGCCGATTTTTAATGGAATTTTTATTTTCTGTTCTAAATGGATTTAATAGTCTGCCTATTTTTGTCAAATAAAAAAGAACATTTATCTTCTTTGCCTGTGTTTTTAGTTATTTCCTGCTACAGAGAGCACTTGGAGAAAGGAAGTCTTCCTATGACCTCTGCCTACCACCCATAAAATACTCATTTCTGTTTTAGGTAAGTGTATTGCTTTGCTTTGATACATACTGAGCAGAAGGTATTGATTTCTTTCTGAAAACTCATGTCATTATTATATTAAGACAAAGACTCTGAGGTTTCAGATATTTTGCTATCTGGAAAAAAAATGGAAAAAAATAAAGAAACCAAAACAAAACATATATACAGGAATCCCAAACCTTGAGGTCCCTGCCAGTAACAAAATGCTATGATGGATTTGCTTTTCCAAGGCTTTCTGTGTATCTGTTAGTAGTTACAGTTTGTTCAATGCATTGTAGTATGTAGTACGCAATCCCCTTTTGTGCGCGTGGATTTAAAGACAGCTTTAAAAATGAACATCCTTACACCTAAATAGGTGCACTGTCTGTGGTGAGGGAATAAGATGGTGGGGTGCAGTCAGCAGCAACAGCACTGTGAATTAGTAGGGGGAGAGGTGGAATGGAGAGGGCGGAACCTAGATACCAACCCAGTGGATGAGATAGACAGGGCAGGCCAGGTGTCCTCGGCTGGCCAGGCAGGAAGACCTGGAAATGGATAAGGTACTTTCCCCCATGACCATCCATTCCTAGAATTACTTTTCGGTCTCTAATCAATCAAGACACACCAGAAATATCCTCTCTTCCTATGGCCAGGCCCCCCTTTTTTTTTATAGAGAAGCTGAAGAGGTGGATGAACAGTGGTCAAGGTACAGGTGGTTTCCCCCTCATATGGAGGGATCAAGAGCTCAGTACCACCACATGAGGAGGTTGGGAAAGCTTAGGAAAATGGGAGCCAGCTCCTCCGTGAGTGAGAAGTGGTAAAGAGCAATCCTCATGAGAAGAGTCTCAACCTGGATGACCACACTTGATGGACAGCCTTCCTCTGGCTGCCTTCCCAGCATCCATGAGCATCTGTGTGTAACACACCCTTGCTTATACAGTAGGCCATGCATTTTCTAATTTATTTTTATTGTGTTTTGCAGAATATTGCTTAGGTAGATGTTATTACTTTCCAAGAACTTCAGAATCTGGCAGAACTTAGGCTGCCGAATAAAAATCGACCTATGCCAGGTGGAATTCTGCAATCTGTGGAAAGGGAAGAATTAAAAAAAAAAAAAAAAGCCAACAACACACCTCAGTACTATTCCTTAAAATCCATCACTCTTAACACCACCTTCCTCATCTCCTTATCCCAGACATCGGTTCTGAAAGCCTGGGGCTCCTATTGGTTGGGAGGAACTGTGTCTTCAATCTGAAGTCCTGGTAGAGCTGAAGTTATTGACTTGCACCTGAGCACAGGTGGATTTAATGGAGAGTACTTTCCAACAGGGCCTGAATTCTCACTCTGTATCACTCTAGGGATCCCACCCATCTCAGGAGGCACACAAAGGAGGGGTTTCTTATGACACAGGATTTCCAGTGCTAACCCTGGAAATTGGAGCAAACTAGGAATTGTCGGTCCTTTTCATGATTCTGTCACTCCCCCTTGTTTGGACATGACTGCATGGTGTACATGCTCACCAGGTGGCTTCTGACAGCAGCTGAATTTGCAACCCTGGTGACCAGGAAAGAAGCTGAGTAGATCTGGAGGTAACCTCATCTCTGCCACTCACTAACCTTGCAGATGGATGGGACCTGGTTGCTGTGGTTTTGAAAGCCATTGTTTTCCATATACCAAATGAGAATACCAGCAAGCCTGTAGGGATGTTGGGAAGGTGATTAGATATCGCCTGGTTCAGCATAGGCCCAGGAGGAATGGAGTCCTATCCCCTCTCACTGTCTAGAGATGACAGTTACCTTCACGGGCTTCAGTAACCTTTGAGTTTTATTCATATTATTATTTTGCTAGATCCTGTGACAGGAAGGAATGTGACCCATGAGTGCAATGTCTGTACTGTAGACACTAAATCTTAGCCCTTCTAAGTCTCACATACTGTGAGATCAGAGTGTACTGATAACAGAGTATTCTTGTACATGATATGGAAACAGGTTTTCAAGTGTTCTATAGAATATTGTGAAAAGCATAGTTTTTCTCTCACCATATCCCGTTGTTTGTAGTCTTTCAGGTTATTACTGAATCGAAATTTCATTAAAACTTTTGTTCTTTTCTAAGTTCCTAAATTACAGATAAGCAGTCTTATGTATGCATATGTATTAATAGCATCATCAGCATTTTTTGCTACTCTCAATAGTGCATTTAAGATTATGTTGCTTTTAGAGTACAAGCTGGGTCTTTTAAAAAAAAAAAGTGGTCCCTTGTTTAAGGAAACTAAAAAGGAAAATGGAGACATGAAATAAAACGATCTTGTAGTGTTCCTTTTGTGAAATTCTTTTGAGTGTAATCATCTTAAAACATGACATCTCCTGAGCATGTGTCATTTTTAAATTAGTATATAAATACAAAAATCTATGCTTCATTCATGTCATTGCCATTTCAGGAAATCAGCTCGAGGGTTCCCTTTGTTTGTAGTTTCTTATTGTCTTAATCAGACTTAACTAATAAAGTTGGTTTCTCCCCTTAAAAGGAAACTTTTTCAGAATGTCTCTAAGGTCAGGTTTTTGCTCTTCCAGGGTGCTAGAGGCCTGAAAAATTGCAGGGAGCCAAAACAATCCTTGCACTTTTTTTTTTTTCATGTTAAATGGTCCTAACCAAAAATACTCTCTAGTTTTCCCCAAATATCTTTTTTGTTTTTTTCCAGTTCCATGTTTTCATCTTCCTTTTACACAAGCACCTCTGGCTTTTGCCTCTTCCCAGATCAGCTCTTCGCCAGGAGAATGACTCAGAGTTCAGGTTTCCCTGTACAGTCAGGTGGGGCTTCTCTGAGGCCTTCTCAGCTGACCTTGAAGGAGGTCTGCTGGGAAACAAGGGAAAGTTGGAATGGTAAGGAAACCTGCCTGCCGTGCAGCTCACCCAGCCAGGCCTGCTCACTGTGCTTCAACAAGACAGGGAGACAAAAGCATACTCACTGGGAAAAGTAGCTAGGACTTTAGAATTTTCATTGTCCTTGATCACATAAATTATCTAGGCTTCTGTAACACTAGTGGAGGGATGGTGCCCTCTGTAAAAGAAAATGCTCCTGTGCTCAGAAAGAAAGCATAATTCCAATTTTGAGGCTTTAACACACATTTATTAAGAAGTTTAAGAACTATTGATTACAGTTTATGTTGTTATGTTACCAAAGAAGTTATTTGACATATTTGGATATTTTCATTTCATCAAGTGAAAGACAGATTGTATGCTACTATGTGTACATAGTTGTTGTTGTTTTTAATTATGAATAGCTGTTACCATGTGGCCATTGTAGTCATTGATTTTCTTACAAAGATTGACAGAAAGAAAGGATCGTTTGCAGCTGAGTCCCTGGTCTGTGGAGGACAGCTCTGTGAGCACTGTGCTAGAGGCAGCACATGTCTCCTGGGCAGTCTGCTTGCCCTGCAGAGAAGGTATTAGAATCTTCATTGTATAGGGGAGGTATATGGGATTATTAGTCAGCTTTCCATCACTATAACAGGTTGCCTGAGATAATTAGATTATAAAGAGAAAACCTTTATTTTGGCTCACAGTTTTAGAGGTTCTAGTCCATGATTGGGTAGACCCATTGCTTCACACCTCTGATGAGGGAGTGTATGGTACAGAATATTTCTTACCTTGTGGCTAAGAAGCCAAAAAGAAGAGGAAGGAGCTGGGTTCTTGCAGTCCTCTTAAAGGGCACAACCCTGAAGATCTATAGATACCTCACTAGGCCCCAACTTCCAAAAGGTCCAGTCACCTCCCAGAAGCAGCACCCAAGGGACTGAGCCTTTGACATTAGACCTTTGGGGGACATTCAACATCCAAACTATAGCGGGGATCAAAGAGATTAAACCTCAAACCAAAGGGTAACCATAGGATTAAACAAAAATCCTCCCACAGCTCTTCCATTAAAGAGACCTGCACACCAGTTGATTTCCTTATAGTGTGGATCCTAGGTTCAGGGTGAAGGTTGACTGTGGAAAGCTGAGAGCAGAGCAGGTAGAATCAGAAAGTTACCAGGAAACATGGTAGGAAGGTGTTAGAAAAGTTGAAGTCTCCATTTTGAAGGAAAGAGACCAAACAGTCAAGAAATGAGGGAAGGAGAACCCAGGTCAGAGAGAGGAAGACACGTATGTTGGTTGTGGTTGTGCCAAGAGGGAAACTAGAATTTGAAGGGCTTTCCCTTCTTTCCAACCCATACACGTCTGCTGCTCTCTCCAGGGGTGGACTGAGGGAGTGTTTCTGTGTCCCTGTAAGTTCAGAGAGGCGTGATGCCCCTGGGACTGCATGATCAGTGAGTGTTGTAGGGTCCTCTCTGTGCTAGCCTCTCTCTTCCAGAGCATATGAAGTATATTAAGTGTTCAGTTCTGTTATTATTGATTTTAATGAATCTGGATCTAAAGATGCAGCAGCAGTGAAAATACCCCTCCTCTGCATTTCTTTTCTCCTCTTCAGCAAGGGAAGAGGAGATATGCCTGGTCTCTTGGTAGTTTCATGTGCTTAATCCACGTTTCATACAGTGCAGGTTTATCTTTGTCCTAAATACTTATCTCTTCAGTTCCATAGGTCTAACTCTTTTTGGGACATGCTTAAAACCACTCCCTTTATCCTCCATGGTCAGAGAGATTGTGAGAGTTAGAGGGAGAACCTTCCTCTGAGAGCAGTCTCACTGAGTGACTCTTCTTCATATGGCTATCCATTCTGGAAGCAGACCCTGCTGACCCTTCCTCTGAGCCATCCTGCATTGGGGTAACCACCTCTTCCTCTCTGACCAACTCCAACACTGACTTAGCCCTATGCCAGGCTTCTGCCTTGCGTTCTGCTCTCAATCCATCCAAAGTCAGTATCTTAGCTCATGAGAACTTATGGACTGCTTCCAGCCAGGTATCCTTTATCAATTCCTTTTTTCATAAAGTCCAGAAGTTCCTTTGAGGCACATTTCAAAAGTTACTCCTTCTGGTTAAAAAAAAAAAAAAATTGTAGCACAATCCAAGAATTTTTATCATTAA